CAACATCAATTCCACCTTGGCAATATTAGTTCTTTGTCTTTCAAGGTAATATGATTTGACCGAGATCCAGTGTTGAGAGACGTGTTTTAAAATGTCAAACTTCTGCTGGTCTTGTCAAGACAATTTAATATCCGAGTTAAAAGGCTTTTTACTTCTTTGATTCAAATGGCATTAAGTAGATTCCTGTAACCATCCTTCTTGCCACGGATGGCCAAGTCTTTCCAACTGCAAGCACTGCGACCTCAGTATGCAGATGTTGGAGGTAATTAGAGACTCTGCAAAAGAATGGTGGTGCTTTACGAAGCAAAAATCACGTACTTTTGGAGGTTTTACAGCATCATCAAAAGACCGAATTGTTACCGTTTGCTTTGCTAAGTCAAATTACGTACTCGGGAGAGATAAAAGACCGGTCCAAAATTCTGCCCCCTCTATTTAATGTGTTCCGATAGAATAAGCGGATGAAATGTGACCGCGGGCCGAAGAAACCTCTTTCTACCTTAAAATGACGAGGAGGTGTTTTGGAGCCACTTAAAGGACCCACATTAAAGAGCTCTCCACAGCGCATTTTGATGACTGCAGAGGAAGAAGGAGGACTGCACTCGCCTCAATTACCGTCATTAGCATTATCGCTTTGCTCTCATCTCACGTGCATTCGAATTCCCCTTCATGGAGCACAAGCCTCACACTACCGCATACACACACACACACACGCCACAATGGGTACACAAAAGTGGGACCGTAATCCAATTAGATGGGCCTCTGACACCACGTTAAAGAAGCTTAATTGACAAGGGCTAGATCATTTTTCCATCTGCTTAGACAGCTGCAACTGAAACGAGAATTAAGGATGGCACGGTGAGTTTCAGCTCTCTTCTATGTAGCACCAACTTTGAGCAGCAAAGTTATGCTCATTTACTACCTTTTTAATGAAACTGGACTTGCGAATTCACGTTTCACATTCTTTGCATGCGTGATTGAATGACCTTTTTTATGGCTTCAATGATGACGTCTTCTGCGAAAGGCAGGTGGGTTAGAGGCTACCGTTGAGTGGGTCAAAAGTTAATGTCTCACCTTCCAAATGGCAATGGGCAGTGAGTAATGAACCTCTTCGCTTCGTGTCTGTAAAACAACTCGCATCGACTGGGCCACACTAAACCCGAGCGACTAAAATTTTTATAGTCTGTTATCAGTCGCGAAAGCAGTGCGATTCTTTGTTGTCCTAATTGCTTTATTTGTTGCTTTACAGCCTTAAAAATAGCTTAACTTTCTTCAAATACACTCAGCTTATTAGGTGATTCAGCATGCAAAACTGGGACCACCATTTAAGGAGCTTCGACTAAAATTATACTGTTGCCCATGGAAACGTTGTACTCCAATTAATCGTAATTTTGTGAAAAAGCAGTTATTAGGAAGAATTTTGACACTGCGGTGGCACTCAAGCCTAGAGTTTAAGCGAGCTTCAGTGCGCATAAGGCATCTGCTTGAGGTCATTAAATTTGACACAAGTTAAATAAGTTTGACCTTGGGAGTGACAGTTTTGTGGATGACAAATTCAATTTACTGCTCAGTCGAGATGTCTTGTCTGCTGAGTCCCGGTAAGTCCAAGCAGGCACCGGCGAGGTTTGAAGGGCACAAGAGGAGCGAAGGACCCAATGCAGTGAATGCTTTGCAATGCTTTTAAGGACATTGTTGATCAACTGTACTCATATTAAAGAGTGCTATGCAGGCATTCTGATCCAAGTTGGGTAGAGTTGCACACAACTTTGATCTACATGCCTCTGTCTCAGCAGGTCATAATGGAGGACCGCTCCAACGATTCCTTCTCATTCCTGCAGAGAGAATGTCTAGTTTTTAGGGAGTCTGAGGATACAAAAGCACAAATTTTGCCTTTACATGCCCTTCAAATCAACTAGCCTAATCCCCATTCGAGAAGGATATGCCAACCACAGTAGTGATGGAATGTAAGGCCCAAGTTTGCGATTTCATTCCTCCCTCGTTACTAAGGCATTTACCCACTTAACAATGAGGCACTCCGTAGAAAACGGGGTTTGGGTCTCATTCACTTTCGAGTGTCCACTTCAAGTGTGCTACTGCCTACGGAGTAGTTCCTACACTTTCGAGGCAGCATACTTTTACTTACATCGTGAGTGTAGGCTTGAAGGACTTCAATAAGTCAGTCGGAATGGAAGTTGAAGGCCGACATGGCGACTGCAAACACGTTGTAGACTTGCTCCTTTTGGCAACCCCCGGGCTCGAAGAAAGGCCATTGTTGTAGGAATGGAGAAGTTTTGACTGCTAGGCAAAGGGAATAATTAACAATGAGGTGAAGTTGTCCCATCTTTTCCGTTTCCGGCTCAACTGTGGCAGAGTTTAAGCGGTTGCACAGTTTGTTGCTTACAACTTTAATTTTAATGTTATTGATGGTGCAGGCAAAGGAAAAACTCACATTCGAAACACACATACATAATTGCGTTTTATTGAGGCGGTGATGAGTCGAATTTACCAAGATTCCCACCAAAATCCAAATTCTTCAAGTAGCCCTTCGTGTGTTTTTTTTCCTTTGAGAGTAAAAAACTGACAACGCTTGCCAGTAAGGCAGAATTCGGTTGAACTGGGTTTTGGACGATTCGAATGACCACGTAGTGTTATGTTGGGATGAGAAAGTGTATGTTCTGTAGAAATTCTGCGTAATATTACGCATGCCAGCTTATATCAAAAGAGTATAGAAAATTTAAACGAGCATACGAAAACTTGTTTCTTTTCTGTTCCTCTCAGTAAACAGACTCCCACTCTCTCACCTTCCCGTCACCGCGGTCGGTCTTCCTCTTCATCCTCCAAGAAGGTTAGCACTCTGCGAACTGTTTACATCGATAGTTCCCTCAAGAAGGGGCGCAGAAATCCCCATGACTACCCAACACGCTCACAATCGCTGGTTAACTACCCGTCGAAATCACTTCGTGACCGTCAAGACAGGTCACATCGTGGCAGAAGTTCCCGTCGAACAAGTTTTAGGTACTGCAGCGGTAGCCGCGATGGCAGTAGTTCCAGCAGCAGGAGTAGTGGAGTGCATGGAAAGGATGTCTCACCGGTACGACTAATCAAAATTGATCCACGCAGTGGAAGAAGCGTGACAAAGGAAGGTCGGATGTTTGTTTTTGACTCCAAAAAGTACAAGATTGAGGTGCTACCAAGTAATAGTCAAAAATCGGAGCATCACCATCATCGGGATTGTAGATCGGGTAACTGGTCAAAGGATGGTACTTCCTACGTGGTCTACAGAGGCAAGAACTCTCACCCCATTTACCTGGTTGAAATGGAACATTAGCAACCACGCTAGTCAGCTCGCCTCTTGCCCAGCATTAACGATTAAAACTTGGTTACAGTGGGGAAAGTTTATTTCAATAGTACTCTCTTTGCTGTCCTCTTTTGTGTATTATAAAAAAACCAATAAACAGCTAAAAAGGATCAATTTTTAGTAGTAAATGTCAAGTTTATGCTACAGTAAAAAAAGTGGAAGTGTCTTCGTCCGATTATGAGCCCACATCTACTTTGTTGCTCAAATATTAAATCATTACCATTAAACCACTAATCGGATGCAACCAGTCACAGTTACGATTGTCTGTAAATTTTTTGATAAGAGTGATATGCAATTCCTCTAGAGCATTGGCGCAACCCATTTTTATACTCAATTTATCAAGTTAGCGTCTCTTTTGCACTACTCAAAGACCCTTCACACCGCTTCAGTTCCTTAAAATGCAGGTAGATGCGCATGCCTACTTAAGAAATTAAAAGTAGTATTAATGTTAAATGATCGTTTATACGACATTGGCAAATGATCAAGTCGTCTGCGGGCACAATTTCCGTTAAGAGGCCTTTATAACAACTTCTTCTCAAGCGACGCTGATTTTGTGACAAAAGAGTAGGAGCAAAAAGAGTTTAAACAGCTCTCGAAAACCCAAACCCCGGTTATAATTTCAAGGTTTTTAAGGGAATGGTTGCGTTGCATTTATTTTGAGCATTTTAATATGCGCTGCCTTTCATGACTGTTTTTTTCTTATTTTGCAGCGGATGACACGATGCTTACCCTTAAAATGAAGACATATGTGTGGAATACAAATAAGTACTGAACTTACTCAAAACTTAAATGAGTTATTAGCTTTAGTATGCTCACATTAAAATGATTTGTTATTTGGCATTAAGGATCTTCCAGCCACGCTTAAGAGTGTAGTAGAAGGACTCCGCCAATTGACTGCTCCACTCCTCAAGTCACAAAATCAATGCAAAGTTTGTAAATTGCATAAATTTTCCCGTTCTGCGCATGCCCAACTTAATGGTTTCGCATGTGTTGGTATAGCATATTTGGGTGTGTATTTTCTAAAGTCCCTCTGACCCAGTCTCGGGAAAAAGCTTTCGCTTTTGGAACAAAGTGAGTAATTGATAAAACTTAATAAGCTTGTAAACTCAATTTGTTGCATCCAAAGCACGAAAGTCCGAATTATAAAAGAGCGGAAATTAGGGTCTTAGGAATGCTTTGGAGAGGTGGGAATAATTCCACAATCTTGTTGTATGGGTGTCTTTAAATCGCCATTCTGACCTTGGATTGTGTGTTTATACGATGGGAATTTACGGAAAAAATTGAAAGGTCAATCGTTGGCATTCGCTTTAAGCAAATGCGGTCAACATCAAACGTTAGAAAGTTGGCTGCTTTAAAGCTAAATTGAAAGGTAAAATTAAGGGGGAGGTGAATCACCTTCGACACCTTCTCTACGCATCCACACAATGCCTACACGTTACACCATTCACAGGCGTAGTTATTCCGCCATTCTAGTCTCGAATAGTGCACCGCAATTTGCCAATTCTATTGCCAGCTGAAAAATTGTTTTTAAATACGAAGGCAAATGAGGAATGACACCTTTTAACACCGGTGGCTTCGAACGTGCTGACCTCGGTGACAAGCTTATCGGCAAATCATCAAAACGGTGGCGATGTGGTTGGCTTTGACAACAAACGCCTTAAATGCATTCACAGTTGGGTTTGACCTTACGTTTTTGATTACATTTCGACCCGGCTAAATCGAATCCCTCTTAGGGTCTCAGTTTTAATTTCATCAAGTTGCCATTAGTTAATTCAAGGCTTCGTTTGTTCAATAAGGTGAATTTGAAATTAAAACGACTTTGTTGATTTACTTGCCAACCAGTTCAAGATGTTATCCTTTGAATCACTTAAAATACAAATAAGCGAGTGCTGAACAAAAAACCATAAAGTATCCTTTGGTTCGGAAGTGAGGGAAATGCTTCAGCAAACCACATGTCAAACCGTTTGACTGTGATGAATGTCAAAATAAAGGGCTAAGATGAGAGCAGCAGGACCAATGATTCATCACAAAACTGACAACCTGAGCTTCACATTTCGCATGCCCATCAAGCGAAGCGCCGCATGAAAGCCTCGTTTCATTCGCGCATGCAACGCCGTCAGCCATTGGCACATCTGAAGGGCCTCCTTCGCTAAGCTAATTATTGCCACATCCAATGATGTCTCCGTGTTAGCTCCTCTTGTCTGCCTCCTACTCGCCTACACTTGCTATCATCCACGCTGCAGCACACAAACACGACCCCATGGATAAGCCAGTAAAGCCCACAAAGAAGGACAAGGAGGTGCAGATAAGGACACCCTTGCGTTTCCTTGATCATACAAAGGTGAAGAAAAATCAGCAACTCGAGGCAATATTGGAACGTGAAAACTCGTATCTGCACACCTCAACCACCGCTACATATATTGGGAAAATTTTTAAAAATCGTATCGAATTTGCAGGCGAAAAGAATGCCAAGAAACCACCAGTGAAGAGGATAAAATTTTCGCAAGTAGAAAGAATTATTCCGAACGATGATGCCCTCTGCGTTCATGTAGGCTGGCGGCAAGGTAAATCCGTCTCAGTGACTTCCTTTGCGTTTACTGAAGAAGCTGTTTATAATGGATTCATAAACAACCTTGAGAGTACAAGAGGCTTCGCGCAGGACTCGAAAAATCAAGCAAATCAAAGTGCAGGAACAGAGACTTTCTACCGCCCAACACCATCTTCTCCTTCACCAAGATGGGAGAATTCAGAAAAGAATGCAGAGCCGTCAATTCACAGACGTTTAAGTGAGGGCTACACAACGAGTTACATCATGTGGGAGGAACCTCAGGCGAGAACCCACCACGATATGAAGTCTGCCAACTTGCATATGCCAATAAATGAGGCTCCTAGCTCCTTTGGAACCAGTGATACCGAAGAGAATGTTAAGATTGTGGGACGAGAGGAGGAGGAGGAGGAGGAGGAACAAACGGTGACCGAAGAAAACATGGACGAGGTACACCACTGTCCCTGTTGTGTTCAACGCTCTGGAATTAACCTGAAACTCTCAAACCAACATCTTAAGGCTTACGCGCCATCAACAGAAAGAGGACAGTCATATACTAACTTCCCTGCCCATTTGTCACACAACTACAAGTGCTACCGTCCTCATCAGGCACGGACGACGTCATCGATGTCAAGAGAGTCTACTACTGACTTCAACGAAACCTTATTTGATACCTTCAATGACAGCGATTCAACAATGCTGTATCCTATAAGATCGCGACCCAGATCTCTTCCTCCACCAATCCAGAGTACACGAAACGTTGCCAGACCGGCAGCACCACAACAGCGACATCAACAAACTCATCACCAACAAAAATTTGTACCCAAAGTACCACGCAGTTATCAGCATACATTAACCGTTGATTCTTCGTCATCTTCGGGCTACACCAGCGCCACATTTCATGAAGATGGTCTTGAATTAATCGTGGATCCCACAACCTCGGGTCAGTACATTCGAAACCAAAAGCGTTTCGTGACGGGGAGAGTTCACTCAAGAAATAGAAACGAACCTGCCTACTACTACCGCAAAAATCCTTCCAGTCTGCCTCGAATTCCTCGAGTACGAGATTATGATTAACTCGCTGTATTTATTTATTATGAAGGTTTGCTACATTCATTGCTCTCAAATATTAGTCCCACACTTTCGACTTAAACACCTTCAACTGCTTCCTTAGTGAGCCAGCGTATTCATAATGGTGCTGAAAAAATATTCTACATAATTACAAGCGTTGTAGCTTCTACGACCAATAGGTGCTGAGCTGCGCAAGCAGTGTATGAATGAAGAAGTGTGGGAAAAAATTCAATTTTTTAAATCACATAAAACTTTGTATGTAAAGGGCGTTCACCTTAGTATAGGTCAGAAGTAAACTCTTGACTGTGCTCTAGCATGGGTGCAAGCACAAATTCGAATGGTTTGGTGGAAGTGATGCAACTGCGAGCTTCAATGGCATCGGCGCCAACGTTAGTAAATGCCTTAAAACCGGCACAACGCATGCACAATGGGTTTTTGTCCTCTTACTCGTTGCTAATCGCTGGAGTTCGTAAAAAGGGCACAGTGGTTAAAATGTGCTCCATTTGTTCAGACTCATTAGCTCCTAATGTAAATGATTGACAGGTGCAACAAATAAGGCCAAAATTGGCTTAAACTTGGCTTAATTTCATCCAATCATCTTTGACTTTCTTGTTCCACTAAAAGAGGAATAACAAAGTCCACTCTTAAGGCATTGAATTACTATTAACAGGACCGTGATCGAGGTGTGAGGAAATTAAAGATGATAATGTTTTTAGATTGCAAATTGTATTGTTGATGTTTACGGTCACATACAACAAATGTGAGGCGAGATTCCATACCACTCTTGGTTGGTTAGACTGACTTCAAGGCGGCACCCAATTATAGGCTGTTAGATTTCCGCTCTAAACTGCTTAGTGGAATCAAAACACCGTAGGACATACCTTAGACATACAGCTAGAGTCACGACGCACCCACTTTCTCCTGCATTACCGGAAAACAACTTTCACCCTTGGAGATCCCATTTTAAATGAAGTCCCAAGCAATTTTTGACAATTAAGATGGGTTAAGCCAAATCTCGAATCCGATTCGCAAGGGACAAGCCATGGAAATGGAGCCGGATAAAGCATCAACTAGTTACGCTTAGGCCGTACACCCATGGAGCAATCACTTGCATAGCATGTTATTCAAGGTGCGAACGGGTTATGAAGGCTTCCTTAAATAATCTGATGGTGAAGGCATTTACTTGTTAAGGCATTACACCTGATGTCGGTTTCCTTGCCATATTCTGCCATTTCTGGCTCAGTACATACAAAATCGGTTCATTTAAAGCCTATTTAAGTGCTCAAACCTCACGAAGTCGAAAACAGACAATAGTTGTTTTGAATATCAGTTGCTTTTCCGTTCCCCCATTTTAGAATCTTACCTAAGTTATTTTTCCTTAACCAACAGAGTTATATAATGTAAGTTGTTAAGACATCATTATACATAAAGGCGCATTTTGCTCACTTACCAACAAAACTCATGAGTCTACTTATTTGGGTTTGAGTAATAAGTAATAAACAGAAGGATTAAGGGGGTGGATAGGCTGTCTTCATCTATGCTGCAAAGCTATTCGAACAACCGCTTCATTACCTTCAAGCACTTTCAAGGCAACTCTCCATCGAGATTTAGTCGTGGCCCTCCATTGAGACCACTTTGAAGAGTGAATGTCTGCATTTACCCCATTTTGGGTTGAGTCATTCAATCACCACGGTCCTTTTTGTCAATCATACCGTCTTTATGCATCCAAAAGCAACGAAGAGTATGTTGCAAGTTGATGAAGTTGTGTGCTACCTCGAATCGCTCCTAAAGGAGGATTAAGTCAATTGGTATGCAAGAAAATGACTTACTAGCTATTTGAAAGATGACAAAATGCAAGTTGTTTTGGACTTGATATAAGGAAATGTTTTTCTAATGCATCCTTAAATGCTGCCTAACTAACTTTATGGACTTCTTAGTTTAAAATCTGTTTTTTACCCATTAAAAAGAGGTCTCAATCTAGCTTAGTTTACATTTTAACAGAAGGGAAAGAGGTAACTGTGGTTCTGAGTAAGTGGCATACGAAATTGTCAACAACGGCCAGCCTCGTGGTTAACTTTACAGTAAATACACAATAGGAGGCGCGAATTGTTGACCTCGGAGTGAGACGCTCCTGAGTCTGTGTCCTGTTTCAAAGAGACGACCAGCTGTAATGCCGTCTCTTTGTCTTATTTAGAAAATTTTCTACCTTTAATTATTGCTTGCATATCAATTTATGTCTTCATACAAACTGCCAGCAGCCCTAACGACATCGATAGCTTTTCAATTTGGCAGCTTTTACACTGAGAAAGACGTCCATCAGATGCCTTTTCTCAAACTGTCATGCTACATCGAAACTACCGGCTATTTTCAGTTTTAGCATAAGATCTCTTTTGCTGCATTGTTAAGTGCATTTATGAATGAAAAACATTTACACTTGAAACCATAAATGCAACGTTATAGTTTAGTTAGGTGATAGTTGTTTAACTAGGATGACTTGCAATTTATTGTCAGCATAAAAAGTACACAAAATGCTTAATGTATTCATTGCCTTGGTTTGAAAGTCACTTAGGCCCTTTCTACATGCCCTAGGTGCTTAGCCTTGATGCATAGCTTGCCTAAATTTTGCGATCCCTATCGACCTAAAGACAGGTTCTGGGTGCCACATTGGTGCTATTGCGGTGCTTTGCTATGGTCAGAGAAGCAAATGCCCTCAGTTTTATGCTTTGCTTGTAGACTTTGTAATGACGACGAAGTGGCTTTGATTGTGAGTGCCTCATACATGTGGTATGGAGGGAATGCCTACCTTCTGCAGTACCAAAGTCCTACCGTCTAGGAGAGAATCAGCGCTACTAACTACTTTTTGCTTTTTGCTTTTGCTTTTTGCTACTTTTGACTTCCATTCAAAACCTGAAACACATTGCCATGTCTCTGTTTTTCGTGCGTTTCAGCCCTCTAACTGGGTTCAAAAAATTTCCTAAGAGGCACGAGAAGAATGCCACATCTTGCATGATTAATTTGAGTGACATTTTTATGCGCAAGCCATGGGAAGCTCCCTGATAATTGTTCGACATGTTTAAGCAAAGTCACAACGCCACTTGTTTGATTGCACCATTAATATTCGGGTAAGTATTTAGCAAAGGATTCGTCAAACATTAATCACCACCTTGATGTTTGCTAAGTCTTGCTTGTCAGTAAGTAGGAGAGAACAGTATGTTTGGAAAAGGCAAATATTCTCTTGTCTCAAATTGTAGAAACGATTTTTTCCCGAGGAATGGGAAGTCAAGTGAGGGCTGCAATCCAAGCATACACTAATAATGTTTAAATATATTAATTAAAACGGCCAATTATGAGCTTTTAATGTGGAATAATCGGGCAAAGTGTGATTGACCGATTGACTTTTACATCATTTTATTGAACAAGCGCAAAAGCAAGACTAAGGATGGGATAGTCACTTGTGTACAATTTGGCCATTATTTTGAAGGAAGGCTGGACTGAAATGAATCTTTTACAGGCGAAATTCGCCAAAGCTTGAGTTCCCTTTATAAATCTCTAAGTGCAAGCTGTTAGCCAACCAGAGACGCCCAAAAGATCACGTTTAACATTTAATTGGTTAATTGATCCGCTTTTCTACCAATCATTTTTAGAAAACAAAAGTGTATGCCAATGCAAAGTATTTTCAAAATGCACAAGTACGCATCTTGTTTGAAAACTTAATTTCAACTTGCTTCACTGTAATCCAAGAAGTTTAGAGGTGCGAGAGGCATTCTAGTTAGTACTGACAGATTCCATTTCTTTTTGGATAGGTGTGGAAACATTCAATTTATTGAAAAAAAGGTAGTTAGCAAAATCTTTTAGTCCTGATAGTGAAATATGAAATGCATTACTAATTTTAAATGCATTTACGGAGCCTTTAAATTAAGATACTGGTATGAACTGCGCAATTTTGTGTGGCTCTGAGTTAGCAGAAAGCAGATTTGCTCGCATAGATTACTTTTGAAATGATTCTTTCATCGTGACATCATCACAATATCTCTTTCTTCTGCTTCATCTTTACGTCATAGGCACTGCCGCATTAATGACGCCCTTTTAGTGTACTCTTAATGCGAGTCTTGGGTGCGGCTTGATGATGAATTGGGCTCAACAATGAAAATGAGGTGTGTTTTTGCAAATGCCTACACTACAATTAATGAAGAAGGCGGCGTTAACGTTAAAACACTAAATTTGCAACAATTAGTGATAACGCTTTTACCGAAGTGTGGATATGTAATATTCCAGAGTAACAGTAATGGCGGTAGCAATTGGTCACTCAGAAGAGTAGATATAAATAGTCATCGCCAACAATGAAACAGACATCGACTCAAAATTGTTGTCAATGAGTTGAAGAAGATGGAATGACTGGTGCGTCAGTTTGAAACAATCTTATGGTAAAAGAGATTCAAAGCCTTCCATATGTCTCAAAATGGGGAGAACAGATACAAGATTTGTCTACTAGGCTGCCAAGTCTGTTGGAAACGGTGCATAAGAATGGAGAAGCATGAGGATAATTACACAACTAGAACTTTGATGTGAGTCAATCAAAGAGACTAGATTTATTGGAGCGTTTTTTATAGGCTGTAACCTTTTATGGCTTGTTTTTTTTTCCTAGACTCCACATTCTCCCTTCAACGTGGATTTGCTGGCTCTTTAGAGCAACTTTGTTTGCATTCTCTTTCTCTTAGTGCTTACTGTCAACACCTAAAATATCAGCTCCAACACTCACTCATGAAGGACCTTAAGGGGTTATGAGGTATGCTGTAGCGCATAAGTTGTTTATTGCTTGTTTGTTTCTGCTTCATTGTCACTCAAGTCACCGGAGCTTGTACTTCGGGGGACTGCTCGACCGTTGAGTCATGTCAGTAGTTGAAAACAATTGCATGCGCTCATCAGGAGTTACGATTTTGTGTATTGTCAAGAAAGACTTATGGGGATTCAAAATAGCATCTCTAGCAGAGCCACTTTTGTGTCCAAATAGTTCTTAACGCAGATTAAAGGCTGAACACACAATCTCACTTTACCCCATAAAACCAAGTTTATTCTCAAAAATCAACTCCTATTAATAGTAAGAACCTAAGGTGATTGTGCGATCCCAACGTTGGCATCCTGTTCGACTGCTTATTCAGAATGACGAAACAAGTTTTTAGGATTTGAAATTACATACCAATTCCTGATCCGCTGTTTCCCTCCTGAATGGTGGCTACTAGTATTTCTTTTTAATCGCACATCCTAGAACGGCAAGTTTTTTTCTTTATTTTGCCAACCTTTCTTGAGCCAGCTCTATTCAGAAGTGTTGGAAGCATTCAAAAATGCCATTTTGTCTTCTTCAAGCACAAACATGGACAGAATTTGGGCGTCCACGGCCTCCACAGCCATTTGCGACGAAAAATGAGACTGTCATTAAAGTGTCCTCTTTGTCAGTCTTTTGACGATGAGGCCTTCGTGCCCCTTGAATCATACAGTTAGCCCGTTTGCATGTGCTTGATGAAGCTCAAATTTCCAGCTTTAAGTCTAATTAAAATTTAGACCAATTCTTCTCATTGCTTCAGTTCCTCCTTCATCCAGATTGGGACGGAGGACCACAATTTTCTCCCTTACCCATTTTGCGCAATAAGTTGTCACCCCACCTTGCCTCCAAGTGCCATCAAGCTCTCATTCTTGACAGCACTTACGCTTCACAAGGCACTACAAAGGCACACCTTTGGAAGAAAATCTTAATAAACTTAATCGTAATTTTATTTAATTACTAAATGCATACAACAATAAAATTTGTAAATTTCTTCAAATACGCTTTCTCTTTAGGCCGTATTTGTGAAAGGAGGGAATTTAGAAATATAAAAATGTGTCCCCCATTAAATGGGACATCAAAAAGCTGGTTGCATGAAGCCTTTTGGACAGACTTGCCAAAATATGCGACTGTCGCTGTGACGTGCAGTTCTTTTCGGCAGAAGACTGATTCCTCCCTCTACGGCGTCATATGAGGAGCAACGCGATGGAGGCGGTGCTTCTGGTTTCAAAGGCTTCTACCAAACTGACTAAGGTACAAAGGTTTGATGTTTTCCAGACAATATTATTGTCAGGAAATAAAATGACTCCATCTAATTTTAATGTCAAATGCTGTAGAATTTTCTGACTCATTCTTGCATAAACTTGACAGTAAGTCAGTCAATTGCTAAGGAATTTTTTTGAGCTCGAGTATCCATTCACTTACGAGGCGATCGCGTATTCGTTACCGTCGATCCAATCAGCTCAGCTCACAAGGCAGATCATTCGTAGGCGCACCAGCTATATAAGTAATCTTTTCAACAGAGTGCAATCACTGGGAAAAAACCTACAATGACAACATTGAAACCGTTACCCGCAGCAAAAGGCAATGGGCCGATCTACTACGACGAGGTTCTAGAGGTCTACGGGATTGAGAAAATCAAGCCCAAGGGTGAACACACACCACGTGAGGCTCAGGAAGCATTGAAGAGACATATTAGCGACAAAAAAGCCGGGAAAGCCAAAGTGGTTGCGAAAGTTGATGCTCTTAGTTTTAAGAAGAAGGGCATGCATGGCAATTTCAAATTGAAGGAGATTCCCTATGATGCAGTGAAGGGCTTTTATCAATTTGCGGAAAAACCTAACTTTGTAATCATTGGAGTATTGGGGAAGGATCTTCCCAAACAATACATCGTCCTTGCCGCTCCCAAAGCGGAAAAGTTGGACAGACTCTTCGACGTAATCCAAACATCCCAATGGGCTCCAGGACACAAACTGAACAAGCCAGTCCCTCCGGTGGATCCTGCTTCGATCGTTGTTGTTGGAGCAGAATCAGAGAGTCCGACTTTGCGAACCCATTCAGAAAGTCCAGTTCCTTCTCGGACTTACGAAAGTCGCAAATCAATGTCATCAGAATCATCACCTGTTCTACAGCACCAAATGTTAGAGTCTCCCACAGAAATTTCTAAACCCATATCTTACCGATCCAAAACCTCACGAAGTCCAAGCCCGCAACCGATGCCATCGCGTGGGAGAACAGAATCAAGAACTTCAGCAGTCTCCTACGCTTCAAAATCCACTGTGCCTCCGTCTCTATCAAGCCACCATCCTCCAGCTACTCGATCAATTTCGAGCTCTTCATCCTCTTCTGAACCAAATGCGATGCAAAAAAGCCGAAGATCCGTTACCATAAGCAGAACTGCAAGTATAACAACTCCAGTTACTTACGATCCATCTACCAGAGCCACACCATCTTCTGTCCTTGTTTCTTATAATAGTCCTGTGGAATGCAATGAAACCAAAGACCAGTTTGTGGTCTACAGACCGGCGAAGTATAGGGCCTCTAGGGCTAAGTCATTTGACTTTGGTGGAGCGGTGGATCAGAGTCGCAGAAGCTCTAGCTCCGACAGTTCATCGGACGAAAAGGACACCAATAAAGCTCAGTCGGGAATAAAAAAGTCCAAACACACTGGCAAAAAGGACCAGAAACCAAAGCATATATCTGCCCCTTGCAAGTCCAAGAACGATGAAGAGCAGTTATCTTCAAAGATTTACTACTTCCGTGCAAACAGAGAAGATTTTAGTAGTAGCAACAGTGACAGTGACAGTGACAGCGTGGTTGAAGACATTTATATGGTAAACCGTGTTACTTCAAAACCCCAACCCAAGAAAAGTGTACCAAAGAGGAGGAATCGGAGATCCAGCTCCTCTTCGTCGTCGTCGTCGTCCTCCTCCTCCTCTTCGTCATCTTCGTCGGTAGCACCTTCTCAGAGGTCCAGGGACTCATCAATTTACCGCATAGTGCGCTACTAATTTCTAATGCTCAGTCTGATTTAATTCCCCTTGTCAGTTTATTTTTTGAAATGAACCCATAGCCCTTGTTTCCTTTTCACTCAAACTTAGCGGATGCAATAAACATTGTACCGTTAATTATCGCCTTCTTGCATGTCAGTACATCCTAATTCCAGTTTATTTGACTGGTCATTGAGTAAGTTGGATCTCTGGCCTTTGAGAATTTGCTGACTCGGCAAAATTATGACAGATAACTATCTGTCAACCATTTAAGCATGTGTATAACGTACTGGAAGCTAAGTTTGAGGAAGCGGTAAAATGGCAGGATTCCAGCCCACAACATATTTGCTCTGACAAAGTGTAAAATACTGTAAGAACTCGTGAGGGCAGAGGAACCACCTCGCTGAACAGCTACCGCGCACTGTGAGCAAATAATTTGTGGAAAGACGGTGTAGGTTGATTTTGCGCGGCTTCGCAAAAACTGCATCTTTTAGCACTTAAAGACTTTACCATAACCAAATACCGATGCACACACACACACTTGGTAGGTCTAATCAACTCAAATGATCCACACCTCTCCATTGGATCAATTTTCTTGAATGAGCATCCCTGACGAATTCGTCTTGACTCCTTTCATGTCACCGAACTAGGTTGATTTCCAATTGTTACCAGTCCGAAACTACTTTTCTATTCTATTTTCTAAATTGCCAAAGGTGATTTGTCGCCTGCTTCATGTACATAACAAGCGGAAACTTCAAGGTGGAGGAAGCTTTTAACCCAACAGCGTCACTCCTAAATGACACACAATTTCGAAAATGATGTGCTTCCAACTGTAATTACAAGTTACGCACTTTAACATTGACACCTTTTCAGTAACCGGCCTGTAGAAGTTTGTATAATTGAGTCTGAACTGATCCGCCAACTTTGCTCGCCTCTTTACTTGTTTCCCTGTTAAAACCAAACAAAATTGTAATGCGCCACTACATTACTTTGGATACCATGGCAACAACAGAATGATGAAATGGGTCATCAACTGATGGACAATTTTAGCTAAAAGAAACAAAAATGAGCAAATAGCCACTTATTGGATCTGTTGTGCCTTTTTAGACACATTTGCAATGCCATTTTGAATAGGTTCAAAAGCATACTTCTCCCGCATTCAACCTTTTACCGCTTATCAGCATTAGAGTTCATTAATAGTTAGTTTATTTTAAAGGCAGATAATGACTTTGTTAGTTGAAATTGCGCTCACGTGTCAGCCGTGGGGCAGTTGAAGACGAGTGGAGATTCCATTCGCAGTGACATCAGCCTTTGATGCAGTGAGTAAGAGCTGAGCCCATTCGACCCTGCCATGTGGTGACAGCGTAGAAACGACAATTGATGAGCCCCGCCTTGCACTTACCCCTGCCTTGAGTGCGATTGCAGTGAGACAATGGCGACGCCACTGTTGTACAACCCTAGTGCCCATGTTTGAAGGTAGAAAGCGCAACTCCAACTGAACCCATTCTTAATTTGACAACATTTTTAAGCTACGCTTTTATGCATTATTGGTTACAGTCCTCCATGACTCTATTGTTGCCCAATTCAATGAATTCTAGTTAAGAGCCGAATTATCTACAGCTGACTATTTTGTTTTACTGACACCGTTCTCCCTATCCCCACTTATAACGATTGTATGGACGTTTTTGGGCACACATCGCTCTAAACATGTCATGTCCTATTAGCGAGCTCAAGTTGGCAAAGTCATCTGCTCAAAAGCGAGGAATAACGAAAATTTGGGGAGCTATCGCAGTCCGAAGTGGTGACAAGGTCACGGCGTCGCCTTGACAAGAACCGACACTACGTCGACTACCCATACAGCATTCCACTATGATTTATGTACTTAAAGTGAACCCAGTCGAGTAAAAATAAGATCAAACAACATCAACGGTTTATGAGGAAAGTGGTTTCAAGTAAATTATGTCACGATAGTAAATTATGCACTGTATTATTCCCCGCTGCTAAATAATAACATAAAGAAAACTTATTGTTCCTTATAATGCTTTAATGCACCTTATCAGTCGTGGCTTTAAGCCTCTCGGCTCGAGTTCTGCCGAATGATCTTCAGGCATGCCGCATTATGCGTCAGCGGATGGAAATGAGCGCCACGACGCGTGCCACCGACTAACACACGAACCAGCAGCGTTGGCATCTCGTAGGCGCACAAATTCGCCATCATTCCATCAGCATTACTAAGACTTCGAGTTGGCAAGCTTTACCGCTGCAAGATGTGTATCATTACTGCAAGCTGGTGTAAATGACACTTTTCATTGCCAAGCGTAGATTCTTTGTGCACACAATAACCGATGGAAGAACTTAAATGCGATATTTAGGCCTTTACCTTTCTTGTCATACGTTATCATTTTTATCGCAAGGTTTATGTCTAATTTTGACCGGATATTTGTGACCTTCAAATGCAAATTTTGGGTTCAGTGATGCCTCTTGTGCCTTTTTTGCACCCCGTCTGGCCATTGCAATGCCAGACTAAAACTTAGTGATTTCTATAAAAATGTGCAAGACAACCGTGTTGAAAGGTCGCATTTGGGTTGATCGCTTGTGTGAGTGCTTCTAAGGCAAGAGCATAACGAGAGCCCATGAAGAAAGTCCTTATTTATGTCGATGGTCTGTTAAATAAAAGGATGTACAAGTGAACAACGTTTCGCCTTTGTACAAAATCGCCTATAAGCACTCGACTGGAGCAGCCCTTACGAAATAAGGCAAGTCATTGCATTCTTTAAGATGATGTTTCAACCTACACTGACCCTTTTCCAGAGACACTGTGAAAACATTGCTTCAACTTATGCATGAACTAATTTACTCAGGAGGTAAAAATGCCGACGAGAGGAGCTTTGTTGTCGCTAAGATGGGATTGATGGGGTCTATTAATTTTATACCAGTAAATTGCTAGATGCCTATAGGCGAAACCAGAGTAATTCGATTTAAACGAAGTAAGCAAACACTGACAGTGAAGCCGTCTAAAGGCACAACCGTCTTTCTCTGTTGCCCGTGCGGCCTAAATCATTTCATTGTAAGCTAAAATTTTTTCCAAAAGGAAATGCTCTATTGTTTAAATTGTGCCTTGTATGAGGGAGACACGGATTTTAATCTAAATGCCGTGCAGGTGGAGTGCGAGGATTCTTCACCAGACTACCTCGGATACCCAAGTGGTGCTGCTCCTTTTAACTGTGCCTGTACAGGAATGCCTAATGAAGCATTACTGGGCAATCCTTCTTTTTAAGAAACCTTGGAGGCAGGGTGAAGGGAATGGGAATGAAGGGGTAGCACCAATACTATTTTATTCTGAGTACAATCTACTCTAAAAGTTAATGCTTATAATACAGTGGAGCCCATCTGACAGGAAGGAGCTGCACTCCAGGTACACAGGAAGGTCTGGAGTCCAATCATATTTGTGACAAGCGGAAAGCTACGTGGCACTCAAACTGAAGTTAAATTGCTGACGCCCTAAGGGACTAGCAAAAGTGACACACCTTCGAAGGAATTTCTAATTCACTTCAAGGTGCATCAAAAGTGAGAGAATCTTGCAACAAATAGTTTTGAGCAATTAAGTCTAATGTAAAATCTAAAAAGAGTCTTCAACAGATTAAAATACTAAAAGATTCCTTCGATGGCAACAAGATTTATAATGTTCTTCATTCGTTGTTGTTTGATAAAACAGGCAACTGTGTAGTTTACAAAAAAACACACTTTGTTTTGAACCCTTATTGACATTACTTCATTACGCAAGGTCGTTGAGTTATCACCTAGCCTCTATTTACTTGGCTTTCCCTTCCCTTCTGGTCCAACGAAAAGTGCCTATTTTTGACTCCTTTAACCGAGGCCTTCTTATCTGAAACTATACTTTCTTTGTTCTGGCATGCCTGGCTCGACGGATCAATAATAACGCACCAATGCTTTGCAGAGCACTGAAATTCAAACCCTGCTGGTCTCCCACAAAACCTTAAGGAGTGAATGGCCTAACCCAGCAGTGCAGGGGAGTTGGAAACTAGCAGTTGCAGATAAAGTGCTGAGAGCACTTTCTCTTCTAAAAGGTATCAAAAATCTTAGTCTTTTCAACCGTAATTGATCGGGATGGGTGCCATAAGAATCATCTACTTACCCTTTTCGCAACACTTCCATATTCAATCACAACTTTAATCGGCTTGTCAAGAATGGTGGATTTTACTATCCGTTTTACTTAAAGAAATGCTTTTGGAATCAGTCATATTTACTAATGTCGAAGGAAATTAACTTATTAGGATTTTATTTTCACACTTTGACGCTTAAAATGAAAATGCAAAAAGCTGTCATACTCGGTTTGTCTTGATGGCTCGACAAATCTGTTCTACTAATAAAATTGTAAGTAGGACGTTTGAGGATGCCTCCATCAGTTGGCGAAATTGCCCCCGCGTTAGTGGGATCGGAACATGATTGCCTCTTGTGGGGTTAACAGCTCTTTAGTCTTCATTACTCACGTCATGCTTACTCACCACGGGTTGTTTTTTGACCAGCGGAGTAATGCGCAATCCTGTGGTAATGGTTACAAGATTGCATCAAATCCTTATCTCCATCTGCCACTTAACATAGGTAACGATGCTTTAATTGGAGCCTTTGTGGCTTTTGGCATCTGGCTTCTTAATTGCATCGAATGGACATACGCAGATCGTGATTAGTAGTTCTACTCGAAGTCCACACCTGCTTGGTCTAGAATTAAAGGAAGTTAGTTGATACACTGACATCAATTTTGTAACCATTTTTAGCGCCTTTGATTCAATAGCTCCTTCACAATCCCCTAAAATGGAGGGGCATTACTAGAGACCCTGCTTCTGTAGATTTGAAGCACATACCTTACGTTTTATAGCAGGTCTCTACGTTCCTTCTACGTTAAACGATCATCTCTAATCTCGAGGTTATATGGTAGGTTTGAGAAAAGCTCATAAATTCCCGTAACACTCTCTTCCTTCGCATGCGGCATGCACCATAAT